TCTGTATATACATTTTTACATCGAGTTGATTATAGTGTTGTTCAACTCTTCCATTTCATTATTGATCTCCCATTTGTGCTATCCATTATTAAAAGTTGGGGGTTGAGTCCTCCATCTCTTATTATAGAACTGTCTATTGCTCTCTTTAATTTTCTCAATATTTGTTTGATATTTTATGGAGTTCTATTAAATGTGTATATGTTTAGATTTGTTATAACTTCTTTTGTTGTTATAACTTCTTGATGGAATTAATCTTTTAACAAATATAAGGTCCTTTATCTCCAACTTTCTTTCAAACTCTTTGTGTTCTTTTTTTTTTTTAATTTAGCATGAAGCTTTTTTAATTGAACTCTTTGGTGTCTTTATACCTAAAATGAGTCTCTTATGGACATCATATACATGGGCATGATTTTTGTTTCATTTTTAAAATTCAGTATGCCAATATGTTCGTTTTCATTGGAGAGTTCAATTATGTACTTTCTTCTGCCACTTAAGTACTGTTTTCTGTATCTTATATGCTTTTTGTGTATTTAGTTGAATTTTTTTTTAGTATACATTTTTAGACTCTTTTCTTTCTGTGCATTTAAAAAATTATTTCCTAGTGGTTATGTAGGAATTACAAATGGCATTTTAAATTTATGACAAAGTAGTTGAATGATTGTAAATTAATTTAAATAGTATACAAACTCTACTCCTATAGATTTCCATCCCTCCCCCTTTATGTTGCTATTGTTACAGATTACAGCTTTATACTTGTATGCCCCCTAACATAAATTGTTAATTATTCTTTTACACATTTTCCTTTGAAGTCACATAGGAAACAAATGAAATTATAAACCAAAGCAGGGAGGATCTAGTAGCAACAAACTCTCAGTGTTGATCATCTGGGTATAGCTGGATAACTTTGCCAGATCCAGAGTTCTTACTTAATCAGTTTTATTGCATCTGGCTTTCCAGTTGTCCCAGCACCATTTGTTGAAAAAACTGTCTGTCCCCATGAATAAATAATCTTGACATCACTGTTGGAAATCGCTTGACCATATGTGTGAAAGTTTATTTCTAGGTTATTTTATTTCATTGTATTAAATAGCTATCTTTATGTTAACGCCACACTATTTTAATACAGTAGCTTTGTAGTTAAGTTTTGAAATCAGAAGTGTGATTCCTCTGTGTTCTTTTTCAAGATTGTTTTTGCTATTCTGGATTCTTTGAAATTTCATCTGAATTGTAGGATGGGTTCTTCTACTTGTGTGAAAAATATCAAAATTAGAATATTGACAGGCATTCCGTCAAATCTATGTATCACTGGATGATATTACCATCTTCCAATCCCTGAGCACAAAATGACTTCCCATTTATTTATACCTTCTTTAATTTCTTTCAGCAATGCTTTGTAGTCTTTAGCATACAATCCTTTCACTTTGCTTAAGTTTATTCCTAAGTATTTTATTCTTTTTGATACTACTGTAAATGAAGCAATTTTTTTTGCTTCTATTTTTGCTTGCTTACAGTAGAAATGCAACTGATGTTTTTGTGTTGACTTTGCATCTTGCAACTTTGTTACATTCACTTATTAGCCTGAATAGTTTTTAATGTTTGTTTTGGTGGGTTTTGTTGGTGCGTGCGTGCGAATATTTTAGGGTCTCCTCTATATAGATCATCAAGCATTTATTGATTTGTCCTATTACCTCATTTGCATTTCTTTAGGAGTGATTTCATCTTCCAACGTAGATTGTGCTGGCCATCGTCTGTAGTGTCAAGCTATCACCTGGTTTTGGTTCGCAATTGTTCTTCCCTGTCACACACCCTCCCTGGGCCCCTCTCCATTCAAAAGCAGGGGGCCCGCATCCTGGCATCTCAGGGTTCTGTTCTTGAGTCATCTTGTGGGAACCACAGGCCTGGCCCTGAGCCAGTTGTTGGCTCTGGTCCTTCCCTTGAACCCATCTTGGTCTCCTCTAGCCATAATCAGATCTCAAATCTCCACAGCCTCCTAAGAAGGACCAGGGCATTTCCCCAGGGTTCCCGGGCAGCTGAGCTGCACCTACACAGCTTCAGACCTGGCCTCTTTCCAGACCTGGATCCTGGGGGCCCTGTTGTCTCTTGCCATATGTTTCTGTTCCATTTCTTGCCCACGGAAAGTCTGTTTTAGATCTTCAGCTAGGTCTTTTTGGTTTTAAACAATCAGTTACCTTATTGCCGTGTTTACAGCAAGAGTGAATCTAAACTCAGAGCAACACTATTTAGAAAACCCCATTTTGTTCTCCTATCTTCAGCCACTTCTTCCTCATTGGCTGCCTACAGACATGCTAGGTCCCTTCCTGCAACAAAACCAACAGAGCAGAGGTCTGGTCACAAAAGGAGCTTAGACGTCCTGCTGGCAACTTCCCATGGCCCCTCGGAAGAGCTTCAACCTGGCCCCTGCCAACCCTCCAGCATCTTCTCTCTCACACCCTTTGTTCTTCCCACCCCCAACTCTCCTCCCCACTCTCATTGCTCTGCCTGGAACACCCTGCCCAAGTCCCCTTTCATGATCTGCAAGATGCTGGGCAGCCATGTCCCATGACCCCACAGGAAGAAGTGACTTCTTTCCATCATCTGCTGTCTCTTCACCACCAGGCAGGTGAACACCCCACAAGAGAATGGGACCACCCTTTGACAGAAGCCCCATGTTGGAGATCATGCTTCTCTTTGTCACCAAAGGTGATGGTGATCTGGTCACCCACCAAGTAGTCAACATGTTTCCGATACCCCATTGTGGAAGTCCCTGGCCTGAGAGTGACACCAGCACCAGGCTGACAAGTACCCTCACATTTAGGGAATCTGCGTGTGGGAGAAGCTGCAGTGCAACTCAGAGGAGGAATCAGGAAGGGGGCGGGCAATGAGAACAACACAGGCCTTGCCAGACAAGGGCGCTCACCCGGTGGGGTAGTCTCTGCTGGTGGTGAGCAGCTAGGCTCCACCCAGATAGGACACAGGGAAGCAGAGAGAGTGAGGGTATTGCCACAGCCCCCCAATCAAAGCACACAGGGGAAGAGAATCGGAAGGCGGGTGGTCTGAGAGAATCTCTGGGTGCCAAAAATTAGGACCAACTACTCCTTTCGCCAACCACCCAGCTTGGTTGTGTGGTACAAGGGATTGCTTTCATCTGACCCTTGAAGCCCACTTGTGACTCTCACAAAAATGATGGGTGAGACTATGTACACAAGATGCTTCCAACCTAGCAAAGGAATCAAACAACCTGCCAATTATGCAAACAAGGTAATGGGACTTTGGGGGTGAGACTATGTAAAGAAAGGTCATAGCATTCTTGTAGGGGATTGGTCATCCTTGGGATTCAATCCCAGAGGCAGAGGGTACCTCTTGACCACCAAGCACAGTGCAACGTTTCCTTTGGCCCCAGGTTTCTGTGCTGAGCACCTTCTACACCCAGGAGACAGAGTTGGAACAAATGAAGACAGCATGAGACAGGCAGCAGAGGCCCAGGACAGGCAGGTGGCTGCTGTGGGCTTGCAAACCACTGAGCAAGAGAGCTAAGAGCCTTCAGACAGGAGGCCTGCTGACAGTGGTGGAGTCTCCAGCACTCAGCGGTAGAACTAAAGAGCTTTATAGCCGTGCTCAAACAGGGCAGTTGACCAGGGCCAGAGGAGCTTGTCCTGACGGGCCAAGAGGAAGCCTGTTCTCGGGGGGTTGCGAATAGACCCTCCTGAGGGGGCTGAAAGAAGCACACCTGAGGGGGCCAAGAGCAGGCCTGTCCTCAGGGTCTAAGAGAAGTGCGTCCTCAGGAGATGAAGAGGATCCCAGCCTGTCCTGGGGGAGATGTGGGAAGCCTGACCTGAAAGGCCGAGAGGAAGGCTGTTCTCAGGAGGCCAGGAGAGAAACCTGCCTATGGGTCAGCCCCAAGTGGTCCTGATCAAAGAAGTGTATCCTGCGTTGTTCCTGCTGCTTCCAAGTTGACCCTGGTCCTGAATGATAAACTGAATCTTCTTACTAAGCTCCTACCTCTGAGGACGGTCTCTGAGTTTTGTGTGGCCACAGCCACAAACGAGCAGCGCTGGCTGCAGAGCTGAGTGTGGCACAGCAGGATCAGCTGGGCCAGCACTGGCGCAACGCCTGGCATGGCGGGATGATGGGGGTGAAGGGGCACTGCACAAGAACCAACTCGAGGCTGATGCTGACCTTGTCTCCTCCCCACCCCGATGTTAGCAAAGGAGGTCTGCCAGCCCATCTTCACAGGTTTGACCCGTCTCCTGGATGCATCTCTCCCTTTGAGAGTGGACACCAAAGGGCCCTTTTCCTCACACCTCGGGGTGGCCCAGGCATCAGGTCAGCAGCCCAGAGGCAGGGGTCAAGTCTGGAGCACAGGCAGCCCCAGGGTCTTCCAGAGTCTCTGAGAGTGAAGCAGGACCTGGCCACCTGCAGTCTCTGCTGTGGCACCAGCACTGGCACTGGTCTTTTGGGATGCCAGGCTATCAGGAAGCCCAGGCCTGGGAAGCCTTGATGGGGTAATAACGCAGTGAAGGGAAAGCACCCAAACTACCCCTTGAAAATGACTCCTCCACCGGGTCCAGGCCACCCAGCACCTAGGTCCTGCCCACGGCTGTGGCGTTCCTGAGAGCCGTGGCTGGACTGGTCCCTGGCACAGAAGAACCAGGAGTGCCAGAGATGTTGGTAGAAGATGTCTATGGCGGCCTGGGATCTTGTTCTCAGAGGACACAAGGCGGACATTGACTCCAGGTCTGCGGCAAATGGGTGGCCAGAAGCCCCGTGTCTGCCCATTACCCAGGAGGATAAGTGCTGCCCTTTCCCTGGCCTGCAGAAATGGGTGGTCTCCCCACCCCTGCCCGCCCTGAGGCTAGAGCACTGCAGGCCCACCCACCTGGCTCCCTGCTGGTGTTTTGTGGTACGCCCTGTGGAATGGACTCCATTGGGTTTGGAGCAAACTGGGTTTGGGTTTGGTCTGCAGCCAGGAGGGGAGGCGGGGCGGTCAGGCATAGCCTTACCTGGAAGACGGTGAGGATAGCCGCAGGAAAGGTGTCGAAGTTGGTGGTGGGAGTCTCCTCCTGGAAGTTGAACCTGAGGGAACAGGGAGTCTCGGGAAGAGCCAGCGCCACAGGACCAAGCCTGGGAGGTCGCAGGTGTCGGGAGGGGGCCGCAGGGAAGGAAGGTTGCTTTCTTGGTGCCACCAGCCTGGGGCACCCTGGAACCCCTGCCAGCCCCTGAACAGGGCAGCCAGCTTTCTGCTCGACCTCCCCGGGGCCCCCACTTACTGGCCCCCAAATAGCTGCATCCCCAGCAGAGCAAAGACCACGATGAAGAGGAAGAGCAGGAAGAGGAGGCTGATGATGGACTTCATGGAGTTGAGCAGCGACACCACCAGGTTCCGCAGGGAGCTCCAGTACCTGGGGGCGGCAGGGCTGCTCCGAGTCCGGCCCTGGCACGCATCTGCGGGCCGGTGAGCTCGGCCCAGTGCGAACACCCCGCCTTTCTCGAGCCCTCCATCCACTGGGTGCCACATCTAAACCCTGATTATCCTCACCAGCACCCCAACATCCAGTGGGACACCCAGTCCTACAGGGCACAGCTAGGGCTGCTGCTTCAGCAAAGAGCCCGACGGCAGGAACCAGGCACTGGGCGCTCAGATGGGCAGGGTGGGCCTGAGTCGCCGAGGCCCAAGCCACTGTTGGGGGAGCCCCCAGCCTCTGGCCTCTCTGCACTTCCCCACAACCCTCCTGCACCCTTGTCCATCATCTGCCCCCCTCCCCCCCCAAGCAGGGCCTGAGGAACAGCACATGGCCGTGTTGACTGGTGACCAGCTGAGTGGCTAGCTCTACCCTCCACCCTCCAATCCCACCCAACTGCAGCCACATGTGCCTGGAGGACCATCCTTCAGGCACACACGTGACCTGGGGCACATGGAGCCAGCCCCACCCCCACACCCTGACAGCCCCTACACCCCAGCATTCTCCTCTCCCAACACCCTACATCCTCTTCCCTTATCCTCCACCTATATTCTCCCTACATCCTCTCCCACACCCCAACATCTTCCTCTGCACATATTCAGCATCCTCCCCCACACCCCCCATCCTAGCACCCTCCCTCCTACCCGTCTCCTCTTCCCCTCACTCACCATCTCCCCAACCTACATACCCCATACCATCCATACCGACAGGACGCCGCCATCCTATAGCCCCTCCAGCCACATGCTCCACTCCCAGCAACTTCTGTCCCGCGACCCTCCCTCACTGCATCCTCACTGGGATGCCCCCCACTGTCGGATAACTCGGGGTTCTCCTCTTCCAGCTGACTCCTCAGACTCCTAGGCCCACATACAGTTGCCTGACAGGACGGTGATGACCCTCCTCAGAGGGCAGAGGACAGATGGGCTGGAGAAAACCCTGGAGCCCTGTACATTCCTCCTCCCAGGACACCCTGACCTCTTGCCAGGCGAGGCTGCACCCTGGGGTTGGGGGCCCCTCCGTCCCAATCCCCAGCCCGATACCTACTACCTACTTGGTGACCTTGAAAATGCGCAGCAGCCGGAGCGCCCGCAGCACGCTGATCCCAAAGGAGGTCCCCGGCTTGATGGCTGCCCAGACCACTTCGAAAATGCTCCCCACAATGACCTGCAGCAGAGGCAGCAGTGCCGTGGGTATGTGCGGCATGTGCAGGGTGCTCGCAAGCATCTGGAGGACGAGTGCCTGCCTCTCTGCCAGCTCCATCCTGCCCCCATCTGTAGCGCAAGGCACACACCTTCCGCTGCTACGTTGTCCAGGGACCTTTGGGACACTGATTCAGGAGGACACAGGAATACAGGGCCAGACCTGCGATTTTCCCAATGGGTCCCGGAGCCACCTGGTCTACTGCCTCATCTAGGCACAGTGGTCAGCCAGCCTCTCCTGGTATGAAGCAAAGGGCCTCCTTCTAAGCCCCCCACTGCACTCACTCAGAGGGTCTCATGAACTGAGGACCAGGAGCCAGCACATAGTCACCATCGGCTTCAAGGCTGGGTGGGTGGAGGTTACCTGGACACCAGAAACCCAGGGAAAGCCGTGAGTGAGGGGCGCCCTCCTCCCCTACACCCCACTCGAGCGTAGACTTGGCGCAGAGCCACCTGGTCAGACTGGGTGAGGACTCTCACCCCCAGCCCTCGGGCAGGACACCGATCCCGATCTGCCAGGGCCCATAGTCAGCGTGGTCCTCTCTGTCCTCTGTGTGTGTGGCTGGCCCCACTACCTGACACACATTCTGCTACTCTAGTGGAGGCCTCACCAAAGTCCCTTCCCTGCACTCTGTTCACGTATTAGCCAAGGTTCGAGCCTCCTGAAGAAATTCAGTGACGAGCGGGGAAATGGCAGGAGGCATATGACTTGCTAAGATCGCCAAATGCCTCGTCCCGAGTGACGCGCACGAGTGGATGAGCTCTGTGTTCTTTCCATCTTCTTGGGACTTTCCCTGCATCGTTCAACATTCTGCCCATAGAATCTTCCAGTATTGCAACTGGAGGCTTGAATCTGTCTTGGGTAAAGTTCTTTCATTCCTTTGTCACTACCTTTAATCTTTGTTGCACAAATCCAAAGAGTTGTATTGATTGGATTTCCTTGTATTCAGATAGACCAGTGGTTCTCAACCTTCCTAATGCCGCGACCCTTTAATACAGCTGCTCATGCTGCAGTGACCCCCAACCATACAATTATTTTTGTTGCTACTTCATAACTGTAATTTTGCTACTATTATGAACTGGGCGACCCCTGAGAAAGGGTCATCCGACCCCCAAAGGGGTCACGACCCATGGTGGAGAACCGCTGAGACTGACAGTATCCTATCACAGACAGCATTGGACCTTCCAGATAGATCTTGAAATGTCCTTTTTGAGAACGAAGGCAAGGACATGCCTCTTGACTGTGTGTCCTTCCCAGCACAGTAAGTCACATGATTTTCGGATTCAAAACGGCCAAGGCCAGTCCATTTCAGCCCACTAATACCTAGGATATTGATTTTTCTGTGTTCCATTCAATTTTTAATGACTCCCAATTTTCCTAGGTTCGTACTTCGCACATTCCAACTTCAACTTATTAATTGATATTTGCAGTTGTTTCTTCTCAATTTGAGTTGTGTCCCATTCAAAAATGACGGTTCCAGAGGCTTTCCTGCTGCAGCCTTTCTTCCGCCCACGCCATCATGGCGGACTCTACTTTGAGAAGGCAGCTCGTCCTGGTCCTGTGCTGAGTGCTTTCTGACCTGAGGGATCATCTTGGGCAGGATCCCCGAGGAGGCTCTGCTTCTGCCTGTTGGGCTCTCAGGAACTGACGATGGTTTGATGCTCTCCACGGGGTTTTCAGTGGCCTGTTCCTTCCTCCCAGTCTGTTCTGAGTGTGGAAGCTCTACTGAAACCTCTTCACTCTGGGGGACCCTGCTGGCATTTGAAATACCAGTGAGACAGCTTCCAGCATCGCAGCCACCCACAGGCCACCGCGGTAGGACAAAGTGACAGGCATAATTACTCCCTAACGACCCCCTCAAGGATGACAATTGTGAGTTCTGTGTGGCCATTGCAACAAATTATTGAACCAAACATGGAAGTCAAATGGCGTGGAAGGAACGATTGGTGCAGGACCAGGTAAAGGAGGGTGGAGGCATGCCCGGCCTCTGCCTCTTGGCAATAAGGAAGCCAGAGGAGGCTGGATATGGCCACCCCTGCACCTTTTACTGTGCCCACAGAAACTATCAGGCCACCAATGGTTGTTGCGTTCAACTGCTAAATTCTGGTATAATTTTTTATGCAGCAACAGATAACTAATAAAGTTCAATCCCTGCATGCCAACAATCCCCATGTCCTGGGATCCAGTTAGAAGATGAAGATACACTTCAACAACTCCTCCCTATTCTGCAGTCTGAAACGGGTCAGACATGTAAGCAGGATGCACTGAGACAGATGGTGATCGGAATGCAAAGGTTAGAAACTGAGCAGAAAGATCAGTAGTTGAAAACCACAGCACAGTTGAAAGTTGCAAAGAGATTATATACAGCGTTTTGTGAGACTAACAACTTGTTCAGTGCAGACTCCCTTTCTGGAACAACAGAAAGGGTGATTACACACCTAGACCTCACTGGATCACCTTGTTAGGACTCCAGGTGACTGACTGCCTCTATGGACAGAGAAGGTGGAGAAGCCCCACATCAGCAGCCAAAACAAGGCTGGGGGCCAGTCCATCGACTGCTCCTAGGGAAGTTCACGTTGAAGGTGAAGAAAATTAAAACAAGCCTCATGATCGCCAAAAACACAACCTTCAGTGCACCTCACCTGGGTTTAGAGGCCGTCTCAAACCAGACTTGACACTGGCTATGAGGACTGATGACAAGACCAGTTGTGGGATGGCATCATGAACACTGGACTCAAAGAAAGCAAATGGTCATTTGAAAAACTGGAAATTAAAAAAAGACCATATTCTTCAAGGTAGAAAAGTTTAAACAATGGGGAAAAAATGAAAGAGTTAAAAAGTTGAACAGAAAATTCCGAAGGGCAGCTTGACAAGACAAAGGAACCCCGTATAACGAAACGTACAAAGTTTTATTAGCTTGGAAAACTGAAAGGAAAGAACACACTCAGCATTTCTCAGGCCGAAAGAACGGAGGGAGACTTCAGGCCTCGGCTCAAATGTGGAAGGGTTATACAGGCAAATACTAAACAACGCTGGAGGCACCGAAAGAAGCTGGAAGGAACACGCCCTCACTGTATCAGAAACGGCAGGTCAATAGCCAGCCACTTCAGGGGTCGCGTATGCTCACAAACCACTGGTACAGAAGGAGGAGCCCAAGCTGCAGGCACGCACTGGTGGAACACCAGGGTCCTGGACCTGGCCGCCGCGAGGCAGTGCTCGAAGCACTCGCTCATCTATTTCTAATTTGGAAGACGGTTCCACTACCTGGGCAAGTGACTGGAAGAGTCCCATATTTGCAGCTGTTTCAAAGAAAGGTGACCAAGAAAAAGTTTGCTGATGATAAGTCTAAAGTAGCAGTAGCAGCATCGACAGGGAGCTGCCAGAAATTCAGGCCAAATTCAGAAAAGGATGTCGAAAGAGACATGCCATTGCTGACGTGAAATGGATCTTGACTGAAAGCAGAGACTGCCAGACGAGTCTTCTATTCAAAGGCATTCGACGACGTGGCTCCCTCCCAACCAACCAGGTACACCCCTGCAAAGAGTGGGAATTCCAGATCACACCATTGTGCTCACGTGGAACCCGTACATGGATCAAGGGGCAACCTTTCGATCAGAACAAAGGGGTGCCACATGGTTTAAAAATCACGATGCAAGGTTGCATCCTTTCGCTGTGCTGATGTGATCAGTATGCTGACACATCATCTGAGAAGCGATTCTTGAAAAAGGCGGTGTCGGGACTGGAGGAAGGCTCGTTAACCGTCTGGGATCTGCAGATGACACCGCCGGCTTGCTGGAAGCCGAGAGCCCTGGGAGCACCTGCAGCCATCAGAACGATTGCACCTCAAGGTAAAGAAAGTAAAAGTATTCATAACTGGACCCGTAGCCAAGCTCATGACGAATGGAGAAACGAATGCCGTTATAAAAGATTTCTTTTTACTGAGATCCATAATCCACATTCATGGAGGCGGCAATGAAGAAATCAAATGTCATATTGCATTAAGTAAATCGACAAAGAACTCTTTGATAAAAGACAGGAGGTCACTTGGAGGACTGAGGTGCGCCTGGCCACCGCCACGGTGTTCTCCAGTGCGCCTGTGCGCATGCGTGCTGGGTGACGAAGGAGGAAGACCAGAGGACTGATGCCTTTGAACCACGGTGCAGCCTAAGCCAATCAACATCACCGTAGGCCACCCAGAGAACAGATGACCGCATCTTAGAAGTACAACCGGGGTGGGGGGCTGACAGCATTGATGATTGTGTAACTCCACTCGATGGGACTGAGTATCAGAATTGAATGTGAATGGATATATTGGATTGTGTAAGATCTGGCTAAATAAATAAGGGTTCCTAGGGGGCATGGTGGGGGAGGGAGGGGACAACGGGGAGCTGATATCAAAAAGTTCAAGAAAAAAATAAAATGTTTTGAAACTGAATGTGATAGCAATTGTACCACAATACTGCTTGATGTGATTGGACTTTGAAATGTTACGATATCTGTAAGAGTTCCCAATAAATTTTATTGATCAATTGATTAAAAAAAAAAAAGAAGAAGAAGAAGTATAACCGAATGCTCCTTAGGAGAAGTGTTGAGACTTCATCCCTCATACTTTGGGCATATTATCAGAGGGACAAGTCCCTGCTGGAGGGCATCATGCTTGGTAGAGTGGGGGGTCAGTGAGGAGACGAGGCTCTCAAAGGATGACGCGGCAGTGGCCCTAACACTGGCCTGGAGCATGCCATCAAGTGCAAGGCTGGCTCAGGAGCGAGCCCTCTTGTACACAGGGCTGCCACAAGTCAGAGTCTAACACCAAACGATACTAAGAGTCGGTGTCTTCCTGGCCACCTACTGAAATCTCAGGGGTCACAGCTGAGAGAGGACTCTGTGCATCCCGTCTTCCTCCACAGAGAGCAGGCAGCCAGGCAAAGCCCCGGCCCCGGGTCAGAACGCCTGGTGCAAGCCTGACTGCCCTGCACGCCAACAGGGCAGCGTTGGCCACGAACCATCCTGGGGCCAGTGCCTCAGCAAACATTCTGTCAGCCGCAGAGAGGAAGGGCTCCAGGCAGAGGGAAGCGGAATCTTCACGTGGCAGTTTCACCTCCACCCAGGCCCAGGGTCCCTCCCTGGCTGCTGAGAACTCCACAGATGGAAGGCACTCCTCTGGGGTGCCGCACTCGGCACAGGCTCCCACAGGCTGTGGGCTTGGCAACAAATAGAACCATGTGCTCTGTTGTGTTGGACGAACAGACCTTTGCTGGCCCTGCCCTATCCTATGCCCCAGCTGGCTCCCTGAGCCGCCGAGGCTGGGGAGGGCCCCAGGCCACCTCAAGGCACATGAGACAGGCTGGTCCTGGAACCACCACAGCCTCCAGCCTCCCAGGAGAAGCCCTGGCCCACATGCCTCAGGCAGGCCCCAGGCCGAGAGGATGCAGCGACTTCATCGAGGGCCAGTGCCACAGGGACGGGCAGGGTGGTCAGGGGACTATCAAAAAGGCAAGCAAGGCCACAAGAGGAAGTTGGAGCATTTCTCTGGGTCCCAATAAGTCTCAGAAAGAGATATGGCCCAGGCAGGTGCCCAGAGGGACAGGGAAACCAGACTGCTGAGCGAGGACCCCCAGGGTGAGGGGAAGAGGCTCCCAATCACAGGAGCAAACCTGGCCGGACATTGAGATTACAGGAAGGTCAGGGTCTGGCCAGGCCACAGTCCCCTCCTTCACCTGGGGTCTTGCTCCACAGCCCTGCTGGCCTGGGTACAGCACACTGGACTTCCAGGAGGCGGCTCACTCACCCCAAAGTCGAAGCAGTTGAAAGAAGACCGGAAGTAGCTTCTGGGCCCCAGGCCGTACATCTTCAAAGACATCTCTGTGAGGAAGAGACCCAGGAAAACAAACTCTGCAAAGTCTAGGGGAAGCCGGAGAAGAGGGGTGGGTTAGCCCATGCTAACTCTCCTACCCTGGCTTTGGCCCATCGGGGACTCCAGACTCCTGCCCTCTCCACTGGGCTTGCTCACTACTCCCCAATATGATCAGTGCTCCCTGGGCCTGGCCACTATTCCCCAGGGCGGGTTAGTGATCCCTGGACCTGACCCATGGCCCCCTGGGCCTGGCCTATGCCTGATAGAGGGACACCAGACTTCAGGGGTCCCACCCCAGGTCTGGTATGCACCCTCACATTATGTCTGCATCTCTGGGCCTGATGTGGACCCTCTGGACTTAGCTTTACCTGCTCTTTGACAGCCAAGGCCCTAGGGTGGATGGATGGATAGGAAGAACGTGGAACCTTGAACATGGTGAAGGCTCAGGAACTGGGGGGGGGGGGGGGGGGGGGGGGGGGGGGGCGCGCAGCTGGGTGGACCTTACAGGATGGTACTCTCTGGATCACTGAGAGGGAGGGCTGGGGCTGGCCTGAGACAGAGGCCCATCGGCTGTGGCTAGTCCTGGCCCACCCTCTGACCGGGGTCTCCTCAGCCAGTCTTTGCAAGAGAGCTGACTGGAGCAGATGCCCAAGGTGCCCTGTTTGATGTGAGCTTTGCTCACCTGTCCACCCTGGTGTCTTGGCCTCTCTAATTTGGCAGGTCACACAAGGCTTCCAAGAGGCGCTGCCCTTGCTCAGGGCCCTGCGATGCTACATGGTCCTTCACTCCTGCATCCCACTCCGCCCCCGGGGTTCAGGCACACACCCCAGCCCTGCTGGAGCCAGCTCTAGAGGGAAGGGGTGCTCCTGGCTTTCGCAAGGCCTTGAGCAGCTCCGGCAGAGGGCAAGGCAGAGCAGAGCAGCAGGGGCCCCCAAAGCATGAGCAAGCTTCTGGGTTCAGGCCTGCAGGACCTCGGCGCAGGAGGGCTAAAGCAGAAGCAGCTGCCGCAAGAGGTGCGCACGGGCCCACACCCACCTCCGCAGTGTCCCCACATTCCCTACATCTGGCTTCCGTACCTAGCTCTGCACCAAGAACAGTAGGCCGGCTAGCAGGCCTTGGGACATCTCTGCCTTAGGGCCTTTGACATGCCTCTCCCCTCCTGCACCTGCACCAGACACCTGCCTTTCAGACAAGACACGGAGAGCCCTGAGGACCTGAAAAGGTCTTGGGCGGGGCCCCTGCAGCCGAGCAGCTCACACCCACGGCCAACAGCCAGCCAGAAACCCAAGGCTCCCCAGCGGAGTAGGGTAAGTGATGAGAAGGCAAGGCCAGGGCAGGGGCCCAGCGGTCCTAGCCAGAACCACTCAGGGCAGAAGGGCCTACTGGGTGGACAGAGGGCCGGCCAGGGTGATGCTGACTCATGTCACCTCCACCAGCCAGCGAGGAGTGGTGAGAAGCCAAGCTCCCTCTGGCCCCACCTGGGGGACAAACATGTCTGCCGAACCTCCTCCACACACAAGCTCCTGGCAGGAGCTCAGTCCTAGTGCCTGAGGTCACAGGGCTGGGCTCCCACCACCCTCCAACCCCTCATAGGGCCCCTGAAGGTGAGCAGCAGAGACCAAGTGCAGGCACTGCCAGAGGGGGAACTCAGAGCAGCCCGGCCAGTCCCGGGCTGCTGGGCTCAGGGAGGGCCAGGACGGACAGGGTCGCAGCTGAACCCTAATGCCATGGATCAGCAGTCCTGGAGTTGGCCAAATCAGGGCTGCTCCTGATGGGCCCTCAGACCACCCACAGAGCCATGATGACTGCAAGTGAGCAAAACCAGAGGGTCCAGTCTGGGTCCTGGGGCCCTGCCTAGAATGGGGCCCACTGGGCCTGCTCTTCCCTCCAGTCTCACCCCTGACCACCCTGGCCTCCTGCTCTGACAGCAGCCTCTACCTTGAACTTGCCAGACCACAGGGTGCTCCAGGGAGGGGCCTGGTGCCCCCTGCCCACCCACTCAGCCCTCCTGGACTGTGGCACAAAAGACTGCCCACACACACAGGGCGCACAGACATGCACCTGCAGGTTCTGGGAGATCAGAAGTGGGGGCTGAGCAGGCCCAGGAGGTGGTGCACACCTACATACACAAACACCAGTGAATTCACACATGCACACCCAAGCATTGAAGACCAAGCCAGCCTGCAGACCTTGCCCAAGGCCAGAACTCAGGGAACTTCCTCAAACAGGGGCCTCACTGTGTCCCTGGAAGAGAAGTCCACCTATCAGTCAGCACACGTTTTGCTCAGAGTTCAGCTTCTGGGTTCACTGGGAGGGAGAGGGAAACCCCGTGGGAGCCCAAAGTGGCTCAGCTGCTGGGAGGCAGGGGCACCAGGCAGGCTGGGTGTACTGGTCCCTCAGGGGGATGGGGAGGTGGGGCAGCGGCCAACTCAGGACCGAAAGTTCAGTCTGGTGTTTGCGGATTTCAGGGGAGACCACAGACCAGGGTCAAGTTCCAAGGATCTGAGAAAATGAGGAGCCCAGATGGCATGTTCCCCCTCGCTTGTCAAGGCCCCTAGACAGGGCAGCTGCAGTCAGCTTGGGTCAGAAGAAAACCAGGAAGAGCCCTGAGAGACAGGACACTGCAAACATGCCAGAGCTAAGTCCCCTGGTCTAGTGGTCTGACCACTCTGGAGATGACAGGCGGAGTTGTGCACCTGAGCTTGTGGGCTGCAGCCTTGGACCTGGGTAAGACCTGGCCTCCCGGCCCTCGGGCTGCACGCCGGCCGGCCAGTTGGTACCTACACAGCGCAGTTGTGAGCTGCTGTGGCTGGTTGTAGTGCACCATGGCCACGCAGAGGGTGTTGAGCGCCACCACACATAGCACCGCCCAGTAGAAGCTCTGCGCCTTCACCATGCGGCGGATGAAGAAGCGGAACATCTTCTCCTTCCGTCGGAAATACGAAGAGCTGTCGTTCTTCCCGCTCTTGAGGCTGGCACGAGCAAAGGGGGAGCCTGCAGAGGAGAAGAGGTGAGGGGTCAGCCATAGGGCACCGGTGGTGGACACCACCCAGTCTCTGGTCCCTCTCCACGGGACTCAGCCGGAGTGCACTAGGATATCCCGCACCACCAGCCCCGAAGTTCCTGGCCATCCTCAGCCCAGATCGGTGGGATACCACCTCCCCCACCCCAGCCACCCTGGGATTCCCCAGGCCGTTCTCCTTGACAGGCTGGCAGCATCTTCAGGAAGACATGAGTTCGACCTGGTGACTCTCTTCCTGAAAACCTTCCTACAGCGGGGACCTCACTCTCCCTCCCAAGGGTCACAAATTCATCACCACGCTTAGCGGCAATGGGCCTACTATGCCCCAAGACGGGTCATACTGTCCTTCCCACACAGACCTCTCCACAAGGACCAGTTCAGGGAACAGGGAGACAGTCCATGGGCTGGGTTCAAGTGTTTGTGTGTCCAGGTTAAACCCAGTCTGCGCCCGATGGGGACCAGTAGAGCCTGACCTGGCGCGTGTATGTGTGCTCGTGTCTGCTAGTCCATGCCTCCAGGCCCAGAGCCTGTCTTCCCATTGGCCTGGCACCCCTGACTTGGGCTTGGGGCCCTTGGATGGTACGCAAGTTATGTACATGTTTGTGTGTGTGTGAAAAGAGGACGGGGGAGGAGATGATGAGAGACAAAGGCCTGGGGGAAACGCCCATTATACTGGAGGATTTAAAGGGGCAATACGCATGCTCAGGGTAGATTCATGTCCAGAAAGAACCTGAGAAGATCCTAAGCTTTCGGCTCATGCTAAGCTTTAGGTTCAGTACAAGCAGGAATTGATGGCTGTGGTAGTTGCATCATTTCATGTCAACTCCATAGATAAGTCTGGGGGTGGAGTCTACAGCCTGATGATGCCTCCTTGTGGGTGTGGCCTTCTCTTGAAGATTCTGGGACCTTTCTCTCTCTGTGTGCCTTCATCTTCCTGTTGATAAACCACGAGGAGACTTGCTGAGACCTGCAAGAGCGCTCTCTCTCTGCTTCACCTTCCGGTGGGGTGGGAGGTTCTCTTAATATAACGCTCTTCCTTATATATATGAGTGTCTCTGGATTTGTTTCTCTAGTCTACCTGGCCTAGCAAAATGGCTAAGGCAGAATAGTAAACAGTCTGGTTGAACATTGAAGGGCTACTCCAGAATACTAGAAGGAATTAGAAAAGAAAGCACAAACTAAACCCACGGCAAACAGAAGGAAGGAAATAATAGAGAACGGGCAATTATACATGGACTCCAGAAACTAAAAGTTGGTCTTTTGAAAAGAGCAACAAAATTGACATGCCTTTTGGTAGATTGACTAGAAAAAAGAAAACTCAAATTATTAAAATCAGAAACTGAACAGGTGGCTGAAATAAAAATTGTTATAAAGTGTCATCTACTAGCATCAGAAGCCCCCTAAATCCAAGAGAGAAATGAGAATCAGCATCAGGACAGTGCCCAACCAGGACAGCCCTCCGCTCCGTCTCGTCTCTGCGCACAGGCAGGCCGCACTTCTCAGCTAGCCTCAACGCCTCCCCCTGGCTGTGCTGAGCTCTTGTCGGCCGCTGCTTACCGGAGCCAGTGTCAAGCTCTTCAGCATCTCAGGTTCCTAGAAGCATCCAACTCCACCAGCAAGCCTCCTGCCTGAAGTCACTAACCTCTCTCGCATCACGGATGGCAGGCCCACTACAGCTACCTTACTCTCAAGGCCAGAAAGTCCAGTGCTGCTATCTCATGAAACTGTGATGGAAAATAAAGTAAAACCCACCCAATTGCTGTCTGTAAGGAGACAAGTCGGCAGTCTTCCACACCGCCCTAGTGATGGCACTTGTCCTTAGGTAGGAGACTCATGCCTCTCTCCCAATGTATGCCCATTAGTCACGGGTTTTCTTGACAGCTACACGGCTTTGCCAAGAAACATCTTAAACCCAACATATCTTAGCCTGAACAGCATTCCCACAAGACCCACAGCCCTCTCAGCAGCAGACCTCTGCTTTCCCAATGACTGAGCCCTAAATGTGGAAGGGTCCCAGACTCATCTGCTCTTCTCTCTTCTTTGTTGGGCCCATCGTGACTGACACACACACCATTCTTTCCCCCAGTGCCCCTGGGTTGACTTCCTCACCTCCTTCAACGCTTGACTCAAGGGAGACATTGTCCCTGGGGCCTTTTCTGGCCAAAACCGAAAAATGAAATTCAGTGCCGTTGAGTTGATGTCGACTCAGAGTAACCCTACAGGACAGGGAGAACCGCTCCTGTGGACTTCTAAGACTGTCACTCTTCACAGGAGTAGACAGCCCGAAGACCATCTGGAGGTGCTGATCTTGAACCCCTGATCTTGCAGCTAGCAGCCCCATGTGAAACCACTATGCCACGAGGGCTCCTGCTTCTAAAACGCTACTTCCCTTCAAGCCCCTCACTATCTGCTGCAGCACCTCGTCTTCCCATGCCACGTGATCTGACCCCTAGTCATCATCCATGCCCTTTCCTCTTTTGTCTGATGCCACAAACTGAGTGGACGCTCAAGAGCCAAAGGGGCTTAGCTGCTCTGATCAGTGTGGTTTCCCCAGTGGCTTGACTGTCGCTGGCACCTGGTGGGTGCTCACCTACACACAGGGGGGTGAATGCCCTAGCAGCTGACTGACTGGGCACAGGACAGGCTGCAAGGGCTAAGTGAAGATGCTGTCTGCAGTGCTGGGGCGACAGTCTGAAAGCCCACAGAAAAGGGATGACTTGCTATCAAAGTACGAAATCAAATCTTACATGCCATTGAAAGAGGTTCTTGAAACCGAGCTCTTCAAAGGCAAATCTGGGGACAATCGCAAGGAAACGATTCACATCTACAGTATCCAGCACTAGCTCACTGAGTGACAAGGCAAGCGCAAAGAACCCGCTGGAAAACCAGGCCATGTGAGCTGTTATCGAAGAACAACTCCAAGTAGGTAAACAGACATTTAAAAGGAGGGCCAAAATCAGCAGCAGGAGTGAAATGGGAGTTGCCGCCCCAACACTATCCCTCTCCACTCATCAAACCAGCATCCAGCTGGCAGGAGCAGGAAGGGGACCAGAGGAGGGGGCAGGGCCTCCAGCAGTGCTAGTGACTCCAAGATGAATCACCGCTTTCCTGGGAAGCAGGGTGGTGACAACTCTCAAATTCAGACTCTGCGGCCCCTGGCAGTCCTGCTCTCGGGGGCTGACCCGCAGCCACGGGGCTCACAGACACGGGCAGGAATCTGGGGCAGCAGTTCTTGCGGTGGAAGAAGAGCCCCTGAGAAGAAATGGATGGCCATCAGGGGGCGGGGGGAAAGCTCGCACAAAGCATGGTGGCCCTGCTCGTGGAGAAGCGCACGAGCGTGTGAGTAAGTGGACTGGATGGCCGGGAAAAGGCTGCCTAAGCCATTTTTGTAAAACGAGGAAGACCCCAAAGCTCCCCATGGTGAGTGTGTGCTGTCTGAGGTAAGCCCAGAGAAATCTAGCCGTGCCCAACATCGCTGGCTGTCAGCGCATGCCACCTGGCCCTGGGTCGGAGCAGGAGACCCCAAGGAGACCCTGTCAATTTAGGTCTGCTCCAGGTGCCTATGAGAGTAAGGAACCTGTTTCTCAGTCGCCCTAACTGAGGTCCACCACGGTGCTGGCTTCAGATGGGCATCACAGGGAAAGCCACCCTTGCACACTGGCCCCTCAGTGCCATAGGCAGGACCCTGGCTGCACGCCTGTGTGCGGTAGAAGACACATTGCCAGGCTATCTGGTGGGCAGAACCTATCACATGCTCGGGACCCCCAAACTCACTCAGGACTCCCCACATTTCAGGACCTCCCACCCCTCATGACCCTTCTCACCTGAGGACCCCCCTCAAGAGCCAAAGGGCTCTCAGGACCCCCGACATGCTTGGGATTCTGCACAGCAGTGGACTCACACACACTCAGGCCCCCAGGCGTTCCAAGCAGCAGCTCCCGCAGGGGCAGGCGTCGGGCAGGCGGCAGTGGGAACTCACCAATGGCACCCAGGTCTGTGAAGCGGTCCTCACCCTCCTCTGCATGGATCAGGTCGTTGCGGCTCTTCTTGGTGGCTGCCCGCTTCAGCACTGCTTTAACCGGGGCAGAGGCCCGTGAGCATGAGCCCCTCTCAGACCCACAGCACAGGCACAGGGACAGGGGATTTTCAGGTGGTCTCTACCCATCCCTGTCTCCCAAATTAAGTCTGTGGGATACCGAGACTGGGCCCAATTGGAGGCCCGGCTGAGCAGGTGCCCCTCGCTTGAGCACTAGGGACAGGCCCAGTTTGGGCAACACTATGGTTCGGAAGCTTCCAGAAGCAGCACCACCAAAGCCACCCCTCTGCTGACGGAAACGTGCTCTCTGCAGCTGAGAGTCACAGTGAGGCCTGCAGCCCAGGACGGCACCTCACACAGGCCGCCCAGAAGAGCAGAGACCAAGGACAGGACACACGTGGTGGGGGAGGGCTGCCCCTTGTCAGTCCTTGTCCTTCAGAGGAGGAGCAGCATGGCCAGGGGTGCCCACCTTCCCTTCTCCATCTTTCACTGAGGTCCCAGCACCCAGTCAGAATGCAAAGAGCATTCCCTGTCCCACGTCCTTGCTTCCACCCGTCCCCATGAGCCAGGAGCAGGTGAGCCACCTACCATCCAAAGGGGACTTCTCCTCTGCGTTCTTGTCCTCCTCGGCCAGCATGACCTCCTCTGTGAGAGAGACCTGCTCAGTGGGGGCCTTCCTGCCCGACCCCATAATACTCCAGTGAGGCTCAGTCCTGCATAGAGTGCCTGCCTGCCCAGAACCCATGCTTCCGAAGCCACGGGGACCCAGGTTAAGCTTCCTCTAGCAAGAAAGGCTACCCTGCCCTACGGCAGCCCACAGGCAAGCAGGGTGCCCCCTGTGGGCAATATAGAGTGGATTGCCCTGGGCTGGGTGCCAGGGCGTGGGGATCAGTGTTGACAGGGCTCAAGTTGGGCAGCTTACCAAGCTTGGTAAGCATAGGCTTATTTGTGCTTACTTACTAATTGCACCATGTGAGCATGTGAAACTGCTCACTACAGATTAGGAAGCACAAGCAAGCCTGCACTCCCCTTGCTTGTTGGGCAATCAGCCTTGGGTGGGAGCTAGGCCAGTGTGCTCCGGGCCACCAGGCCCCATGGGCTGGAGAGCCCCTGCCCCTGCAAAGCACCTAGAGGGCCTCCGCCCCTCCCCATCCTCCTGGACTGAGTCATCGCATGGGGCAGTGGGCTGGGCTAGGCCTGGGGGCTGCCCGTTAGCACTCACCGGCCTTGAAAATCCACTCCAGGTACCCATTGAGCTCCCGCTCAATTTGCTGCTGCCGGCGGAGCTTTAGGAAGGCACGACGGTTCTCCACACGCTCCCGCTCCTTGGCAAACTCCCTGGGGGGCCAAGAAGGCCGGTGGGTCAGAGGAAAGAGGTGGGCAGCCCAGGAGGCAGAGGGCCAGGCAGACAGGCCCAGGCGAGCCCCCCGGTGGGTCCGGCTGCCTCCCCTACCTGTCTCCCTCCCCAGGCCCCACAGCACATAGTCCCCAGAGGGGGTATCCTAGTCCCCACCCAAGGTGCCGAGGGGCACCGGCGAATGCGCACCCCCCCCCAGGCCCCGTCATGCGCCTGTTGGGTGCCACTTGGCCCCTGCAGAGGGCTTTCACACAGTGTCCTCAGTGGATTCTGCCTGAAAGCCATTTCAGGGTGAGGGGGACCCGCCCCCGGAGCTCCGTGCAAGACAGAGTTCACAGGGTCCTCCACCTATCCAGGAGGCTCATGAAGAGACCCTCAAACTTCCTGACTCTTCACAGCTGGACAGAAAGTGCCACCCCTCCTGAACCCAGCAATGCCACCTCCCACAGCCCCCCAGCGCCCCAAGGGTCATTCTCACATGCACACTCAGTCTTGCATACTCATGCACACAGCTGCACACACTCACACGTGCAACTCACACGCAGACATATATTCCCACACAAGCACACCTACATGTGCACACATACATGCTTAAAATATATGCACAAACAGAATAAAAAAATATGTGCACACACATGCACACTCTCATGCCTATACACACACATACATACATGCTTGCACTCACCTGCTCATGTCTGTACACACATGCACACATGCAACACATGTTGTACGCAGAGAAATGTCAAATGCTCATGAGCATGCACTTGTGTAGATGCACACAGAGGCATACATGCATCCATGCACCAGCCCGCTGTCCCAGACTCCTCAGCTTCGGTTTGGGATAAGGTCCAGGTCCCCAAAGAAACAACAGGACTGATCACACCCCAGAACAAAAGAGCAGGGCCTGCTCTTGGTCGGGGCTGTCCCCTCCTGTTCTGGCAAGCCTGACACCTGGCACACAGCCACAGCAGCAGGGAGCGTGGCTCCCAGCCAAGTCCCGCTCAGAGTCCGGGGCCCTGAACCTGCTGGGAGGAGCCACTCCCCACCCCCCACCAGACTCCTAGTTCCTTCAGAGCTCAGTTACGAATCAAACCATGCCCCACAAGTACGTGATGTAAATCCTAGGCCCTCAAGCGGTTCTAATCCCATTTGGGAGTGGGTGGTCTTTGCTGAGGTCAGTCTTGTGAGAGAAGTGGAGATGGGGAAGAGCAAGCCAGGTGGAGATGGCGGACGCTCAGAGGGGACCAGAGCCAGTGCCCTGAATCCGACTTCTAGGCTTCCAGACGGCAGCAGGAAGACGACTTTGTTACTCCCATTCGTGGGGTTTGCTGAGGCATCTAGAGAACTGGGGCGGGGTGGGGAGTGGGGGGCGGTATTCCAAAGCCACAACGAAGCTGGCTGGCAGCCTGGCCCACAGAAAAGGCAGGTCTCAGATGACCAAGGGCCTGCAGTAGTCGCTCAGCCTAGCATCCTGGTTGGGAGCCTCTAAAGCACTCGTTGTGAGAGTCAGGGCCCGGGAATTTGGGGCGGGGGGAGGGAGGCGGTGTACTGGCTGTACAGGGTGTCCAGGCAGCATATGATCAGTGGTCAAGGGTGTGGCTACTGTCCTGAGTACACCCGGTGTGGGGTCCACAGAGCCCACTGACTGGCTTAAAGGACCCCTCCCCGCCAGCCTCCTAGGGCTGCAGTCTCTCTGGGGCCTCTGGGCACCAGAAATCGGCTCAACAGGGATTTTGCCCGTGGGTTCAGGATGCTCCCAGGAGGGGCAGCAGGGGACACCTGGGGCAATACAGGCTGCTTGACTAAGAGACCCTGAACAGGGTCACAGCATGGCCTCGATCCTCTATCCCCACTCCGACCTCAGCGCCCACTGCGACTGGATACACCACACAGAACACGACCCTCCCCCAGCCCCCCTGCACCTCCTTAGGGTCTCCTCCGCCTAGACTGCCTTCTCCCCTTCTGACCCTCCTCGTGCCCGGTCTCTTGGGTCTCAGCTGAGTCTCAGCATTCAAGGACCCCACGACTGCAGCAGGTCAAAAGCTCTGTGTGCCCTGTGCTGTGAGGTGCTTCCAGGAGAGGGACGAGACAAAGGTACTCCAAAGCTGCCTCCCAGTCCAGGGGGACACCATCCCCAGTTCACCAGACTTGGCCCCTGACCCCCTAACCCACAGGAACCTGGGAGCAGGAACCTACAGGGGGAGGGAGCCGTGTCCCCAGGCCGGCAGGGGTCTGAAGCCAGGCTGGGCCCCAGAGACAGCACAGCTTCCTCAGCCCCGGACAAGCCCACAGCAGGGTCTCTGTCTCCAGGGGGAACCCCCAGCCCTGGGCCCCTTGGCCTCGGCTGGAGACTCGCCCAGGGGGGAGGGGCAACACGAGGGAGAGGAGCGGAGTGGAGGCCAGAAAGGCCATCACAGCACACACAGGAAGCCCCACCGCAAGCTCTCCAAGAAGATGTGGCAGTCCCTCTCCTTGGAGCAGCAGATCCTGCAGACAGAGGCCAGGGCAGTGGGGACGGTGGGGGGAGGGGTGGTCAAGGGAGGGTAGGGAGGAGGCACCAAGAAAAGCTGGCCAGCTCTCAGGAGGCTGGGAACACTGCCCGCCTGCAGAGGTTCCCCCCACGCTGCCCACACTGCAGCTGCCTCTGAGGCCGCCCTGCTTGGCCTGAACACCCAAAGAGCACTGCCCTCAGCCAGCAGAGCCTCTTACCCCGAGAGCACACCCAGAACCAAGTTGAGCATGAAGAAGGAGCCGATGATGATGAGGGGGATGAAGTAGAGCCAGTTCCAGGTGTTGCCAGCCGCGTCATTGGTCTGCAAGCAACAGAAGAGGGTGAGGCGGGAGAGCTGCAGCCCAGCCCACTGAGAGACTGCCTGTGGGACAGGCTTGTGGGCTGCTTTCTGTTTCTAGGAGCAAGCGTGGGTAGCACCTAGACTGGGGTGCCCCAACCTGAGAAGCTTTGTCTCAACTGAGGTTCTCACGGGGCAAGGTATGCTCAGCCCTACTGGCCCCTCCCCAGGGGGCCAGTCAACAGCTAAGGAGGAGCCCCATGGAGGGATAGCTCTGCTTAATGCCTCTCCTGGCAGGCCCTCAGGGCCCAGCAGGCCTCCTGATCCCCTGGAAGGGCCAAAGAATGGTCCTCCTGAAAAGTCCCTCCAGCCTGCAGTGGTCCAAACTGACCTCGGTCTGCAGCAGCTCCTGCAGGTCAGAGGAATCTGTGAGGCCCTGGGCCACCTCTTCTTCAGGGCGGGCCGAGCCTCCCACAAGCTCTCATCACCCACGTCCCATCTCTGCCTGGACCAAGGGAGAAGCTAGAGCCCTGGCTGAGAGCACAGGGGGCCAGCTCCCTAAGGGGGCTTCCAAGGGGGTGCACCGCCTCCACACATAACTCAACCCCAGGCTTGTTCACTTTTGCTTCTGCAGGGCCCCGTGGAGAACTGGTCGAGGGCAGAGGCCGTGGGCACTGAGGATCAATGGCCACCTTCCTCTTCTGTGTGGAGGCAATGCCCATATCAAGGGGCTGATGGTCCTGGCTCAGGCCCACCAACCACAGGCACCACCAGAGTGACCAACCTCCTGCAACTGGCCCCTCCCTACTCTTCCTCCCTCCCATGGCACCTGTACGACCTCACTCCTCTCACCTGTGTGATCTCGCCCCCTCTCACGTACCTGGAGCCCCTGGGCAGCACAGCAGTCAACTCCTAACAAAAAGACGGGCAGTCCAGACCCACCCAGAAGCACCATGGGAGGCAGGCCTAGACCTCTGTTTCGGAAAGGCCCTCACCTTGAAAGCCCCGTGGAGCAGTTCTGCTCTTAGTCAGAATCAACTTAACAGCTCACCTGCCGATGGCCTTGGCTCCTGCAATTTTTCTTACTAATGGGTCATTCCCACCAGGAGCCAGGCTACTGGATTTGCTCTCATCTTAAGAAAACAAACGACTTGTGTTTCTACAAAGATGGCGTAGATGTGCTCTTCCCTATTCTGCAAATATAGCTGTGTTAGTCTGGGTACTTCGGAGAAAGAAATCCACATCAACTCATGTATAAGAGAGAGTTTTATGTAAAGGTTAAGTGCGCATCAAGAAAATATCCCAACCCAGGGCTGCCCAAGCCCACAAGTCCAACATTAACCCATTAACCCATATGTCCAACACCAGTCCACCAAGTCCTCCTCCATCTCACAAAACAGAGGCAACAATGCCAACAGCAGGAGGAAAGCCGAGTCAGTGAATGTGTAAGCATCTCAGCGCTGGCAGGGTCTCCACACGGCTGCTCCAGCACCCAGGACTGCATCGGGGTAGGCCCATGTGGCTTCTCCTTGGGGATGTCTTGCAGGAAGTCAGCCTTGCCAGCTGAAGCAGGGAACTGCTAAGGCAGCTGCACCCTGGTGCGACCACAAAGCCAGAGACCCGAGAACTAGAAAGGTGAGGCTCACCAAGCCATTTATCCATCCGCCCTTCAATGAACCCCACATGTGCTTATCGGCCAGGTTGGCACAATAAACCAACTACCTCAACAGCTAAAACTCTGTGGGAATAGAAAGCAAACGTAAGACAAGACAAGAAGCTAGACTGGCGAGGGCCTGGCCGGGAGTTCAGGAAACAACATGGCAGTCCGTTTCCTGGGTGTCTGTCCTTTTTGCTATGTACATCCGTCCCAGTTTGGGAGCTGAAAGAGCTAGCAGCCCAGAAACGCCAGCCGGCACAGGTCATTAAGAGCCTGTTCTCTCTAACTAAAGGGCCAGGAAAGGGGGCCTAGCAAGCCAAAAAATAATTGCTTTTTTCCAACAAGGTAACACATGAAAAGTATGTCCCCCATCTCCACCCCTGCTTGCACAGACCCAATGGGGAGCCCGATTTCTGCTCCCACATAGCAGCAGTGAGTCACCCAGTCCACGTGTGCCCACTGGGGCAGTGTCAGAAGAACCAAAAGGAAAGTCAGGACGAGCCACTGTGTAGTGCTGACGAGACCACGCACAGTCTGTGGAGTGCACGTGGAGGGGTAACGAGGCACTCTTAACCCAATGGAGCCAGGACTGGGACATCTGGGACAGCAGGACCAGGACCTCTCCACCACATATCTCTGGGGCCAAGTGCGACTGACACCCCCAGTTGGCACTGACCTGCTAGGGCCAGTGGAAGGCAGCTGCTACGAGAAGATGTTTGAGTAAGACCCAAGTCTCATGAAAAAAATACCCAAAAACGTTTAGGTTTCAATGATAACAGGAAGATCTCAAACTGAACGGCAAAAGGACAGTCAGTAGGTGCCAGTATTGCAATGACAACGATGTTAGAATTCTCAAGCAAATGGTTTACAACAGCCATCATGAAAATGTTTTCAAGGGTAAACCTGAGACAAATGAGGGAAAGTCTCCAAGAATAAATAAAAGGCATAAAAAGGAGCAAAGTGGGCTATGTTGTCACAATGAAATTTGGTTTCAAAGCACCAGATGGAATTTCTATCATTAAGAATATAGTTAAATGAAATATAAAGACAACAATGGGTGGGCTTGACAGCAGAAGGTAAGGTGCAGAGGAAAGAATCGGTGCTGACGAAGAGGAGACGACCCAAGCCACCCAATCTGAAGAACGGCGAAAGTAGGCTAGAGATTAAGGCGTCTCAGGGACTGTGAGAATGTGACAAAGCATCTAGTGTTCTTGTCATCCGCAGCCCAGAAGAGAAAAGGACAATGCTGAGAAAGCCATTGAAGATACAGTGACTGGAAACTGCGAAGAAGAGAGACATAAGCCTACGGGTTCAAGAACCCGAGCAAACCCCAAAGAAATTCTCAAGATGGCACATCAAAGCCAAACTTCTGAAATGGTTCTTACATTTGGGCCCATCAGTGTAGCCACTATGTCAATCGATCTGGTTGAAAGTCTTCCTCTTTTTTCGCTGCCCTGCTACTTTACCAAGCATGATGTCCTTCTCCAGAGCCTGGTCCCTCTCGACAATATGTCTAAAGTGCATCAAATGCCGTCAAGTCTCGCCATCCTTGCCTTTAAGGAGCATTCTGGCTGGACTTCTTCCAAGACAGATGTTTGTCCTTTGAGCAGTCCATGATACTGTCAATATTCTTCATCAGCCCCATGATCCAAGTGTATCAATTCTTCTTCGGTTTTCCGTATTCAATGTCCCACTTTCATGTGCACTTGAGGTAAATGAAAGCATCCTGGCTTAGGTGAGGGGCACCTTTGTCCTCAAAGTAACATCCTCGCTTTCCAACACTTTAAAGAAGTCTTTGCAGCAGATTCACTCATTGTTTGATCTCCCAACTGCTGCCTCCATGAGCACTGATCGTGAATCCAGGCAAGACAAAAGCCTTGACTATTCAGTCTTTTCCCCATTTATCAGGATGTGGCCTATCGGTCCAGTTGTGAGCATTTGGGTCTTCTTTACATTGAGTTGCAATCCACACTGAAGGCTGCGATCCCTGATCTTCATCAGCAAATGCTTCAAGTCCTCCTCACGTTCAGCAAACAATCTTGTGTTATCTGCACATCACAGGTTGTTAGTACACCTTCCTCAAATCCTGATGCCACGTTTTTCGTGTAATCAAACGTCTCTGGATGAAAAAGGCATAGCAACTGTAAATATGTATGTCTCAGACAACACAGTTGCAAAACACGTGAAGCAAATCTGAGGGACTGAGAGGAGGAATAGACAAAACCACAATTAGAGGGGGAGACGCCAATGATCCTCTCCCAATGGTTGCTGGAACTAGACGGGAAAGCTCAGCAAACACCGAACAACTCAGTAACCATGAACCAACCGTAGCTCATCAATCTTTATAGAACACTCCACCCAACAAGAGCAGTGTGCACATTCCTTTCAAATATCCACGGGACAAACACAGAGAGGCCATAAAACAAACCTATACCGAGTGTAGATCAACCATAATGGAATCACACTAGAAATCAATAACAGAAAGATAACAGGAAACTTCACAAACTAATGGAAACTAAACAGGATACAAGATAAGCATGCAAAAATCAATTATATTTCTTCATACTAACAATGAACATTTTGACATCAAAATTAAAAGCACAACATTATTTACAACAGTTCAAAAGTAAGGAAATACTTAGGAGTAAATCTAACAAGAGAAGCCTGGTGGCATAGTAAAGCACTAGGCTACAATTCTCAAGGTCAGCAGTTTGAAACCACCAGCGGCTCCAAGGGAAAAACACATAGCTTTCCAGTCCTGTAAAGAGTTATGGTCTCAGAAACCCACCAGAGCAGTCCCACCTTGTCCTGTAGGGTTGCTGTGAATTTATGGTGGTGAGTCTGGAGAAATCTCACCATCCATGCACTTACATCTCCTCTCAAAATTATAAAATGCTGGCGAAAGAAGTCATAGAAGAGCTACAAAAACAAAAATGTAGGCAAATGACTCTGTCCTGTCAGTGCATGAGTCTGAGTTGCATGCAGTAACAAGGAGCGGTAACAAGGTGGGACAGTGAAAAGTCAGCAGTTCAAAGCCAACATCCACTCCACGGGTGAATGATGTGGCAGTGTCCTTCCATAAGTATTGCAGGCTTGGGAACTCTAGGGGCAGTTCTATTCTGTCCAAAGGATCATTGTGAGTCAGAATCAACTTGACAACAATGCCAATTCTCCCAAAATTGATGTACAGATTTTATGTAATTCCGAAGAAAATCCTCAGCAGGGTTTTTCTTTAAACAAATGTAAAAAGCCCTTTTTACTGTAAATTGGGAGAAAGTTCATAAAACAGATTATCAGCTTTACAGTCAACAATACATATGCATTTTGTTTCAACTCGTCCCTTGCAATCCCCGTCAATGCACTCCCA